TGTGGAAGTGGCCAGGCTGAACCCTGCTAAGTCTCTCCTGCATTTCAGGGTTCCTCGGCCAGGTCCACCTAGGGCCCTGCTCTAGGGAGATGGGGAGTCACAGGCTCTTTGGCAACCAGGCTGTCCTTTTTCTGCAGCCTCTTCAGCTTCACAGAAAGATTTTATTTGCAGATGGCCAGAGCATGGGCCTTAGACAGATAAGGGTCAGACACATTCTAAGCTGGCCCAGCTCATGCGAGTCTGGCAGGTGGCAGAAATCTCACCTCGTTCTTTTGGGGGTTTCCCATTGCTGTAAGTGTGGGTGTGTCCCCAGAATCTCAGCATTTCTCCTACTTTGTAATGCTGCTAGATTTTTTTTTTTTGAGAGATTTTTGCTATAGGGCGAGTACGCTCCCAGACAGACAGAGAGAGACATAGAGACAGAAAGTGAGAAATCACCCCCCAGAGGGGATGGCCACGCCGCAATCCCTTCTCCTCCATTCTTCTCTCGGGATCTTGGGCACGCACGCACATGCGCCCGGCGTGAGTTTTAAGCCACCGGGTCCGGGACACGAACCGCGGTCAACTACGTGGGAGTCCAGCGACATAGCCATTACGCTAACTGCTGGGTCCCTAGATTTTTTTTTTTCATTGTAATACTTTGTTTTTGTTTTTATTAAGCTTATGACACAAGCTATTTTGCTGCCTTTGTTTAAGTATTTGGAACAAAGAAAACCAATTGTGTTTTGTGTACCAGTTAATAACAAGGTCTTCTTTTATACTGCTGACATATATTGTGAGCAATATATATTACTGGCTCTTAGTTTTTTGTTTGTGCTTTTATTTTTTACTAAGTAAATGAAATAAGCTCTGTTGCCTATACATGTTTAATTATTTGCAGTAAAGAAAACTGATTAGGTTTTGCATTCCAGTTCATAAAGGATTTCTCCTCAATTCATCCAATAATTATAGTTATTTAAAACAAAGAGGGGCAGAGGCTTTTTTCTTTCTTCTTCTTCTTTTTTTTTTTAAGAGGTTTTTTGCTATAGGGTGCATGCGCTCACCAGAAAGACAGAGAAAGCAAGAAATCACCCCCCAGGGAAGATGGCCACACTAGAATCCCTTCTCCTCCATTCTCCTCTCAGGATCTTGGGTATGCACACACATGCGCCCAGCGTGAGTTTAAGCCACTGGGTCCAGGACTTGAACTGCGGTCAACTACATGGGAGTCTAACAACATAGCCATCACCAACTGCTGCTCCCCCTTCATCCTTTTTTCTATCATATTACAGTTCACTTCTCATTCGCAACTTAGTTCATTCAAACTATTCTAACAAAGATACTGTGAAGTGGAAGACTTCTAGACAGCAAATATTTATTTCTCACAGTTCTGGAGACTGGGAGACCCCGGTGCCATCAGGTTCCATATCTGGTTCATAGAAAGCACCCTGTGGCTACAACCTCATATGGGGGAAGGAGCACAATAGATCTCTGGAGTCTCTTTCATAAGGGCATTAATTCCATCCATGAAGACAGAGGCCTCATGGTCTAATCACCTCCCGAAGGCCTTACCTCTTAATACCATCACCATAGGGTTTAGGTTTTAATATAAGAATTTTGTCTTGGGGGGACACAAATATTTACACCATAGTAATATGTAAGGAACATGTTCTCAAGAGAACAGCCAACCTCAAAAATCATAATGCTCTATCATTTCCCCCAAGAACTATAGCAAAGTAACGGAAAAAGTGAGGAAATTCTCTCAAACCCAATTGGAGAGCTGCTGCACCAGTGTCAGGACTAGTGAATCACAAAGTCTTCCTCTCATGACGCGCACACGCAGTGGCTGGCTGGGTGCACTCTCTCAGTACATCTGATTAGAATTTTCACCTCAGCAAAATCATTCCTTACTACATATCAAGAAATTTTGGGATAACTCAATAGTAGTCAAAACCATAAATGCTAAACCCAAGAACAGCATTATGGTATTATTTATATTATGGTATTAATGGCATAATGACATTATTTATGTGTCAGTGGAGGGGAATGGTGAGGAGTAAGATGATGAAGAAGGACTTGACAAGGGAACCAGCAGTTAGCGTAATGGCTATGTCGCTGGACTCCCACGTAGTCGACTGCGGTTCGTGTCCCGGACCCGGTGGCTTAAAACTCACACCAGGCATGTGTGTGTGCGTGCCCAAGATCCCGAGAGGAGAATGGAGGAGACGGGATTGTGGCGTGACCATCCCCTCTGGGGGGTGATTTCTCGCTTTCTGTCTCTATGTCTCTCTCTGTCTGTCTGGTGAGCGCACGCACCCTATAGTGAAAACCTCTCAAAAAAAAAAAAAACTAAAAAAAAAAAAGGACTTGACAATTTCTTTTTTTACTAGTATTTTAAAAATAAATTTTTATCTATCTATCTATCAATCTATCTATCATCTATCTGTCAATAATTTGACCAGAGAGGGGCACACTGAGAGAGAGACAGAACCACAGTTGGCCATGTGGGAATCCAACACCTTTAACCATCATGCCCTGCTAGCCCCAGACTTGGTAATTTCTTAAAGAATTAGTTTCCCAGGGCTGGAAGGTGGTGTGGTGGTTGGCGTGCTGGACTCAGCTGACCACGGTTCAAATCTCGGACCTGGTGGCTTGCTTTTTCACTTTCTCTCTCTGTCTCTCCCTGGTCAAATGACAGAATAATAAAAGTGAATAAAATGAAACAAAATAATTTTTTTAAAAAACAATTAGTTTCCCAAGAGTTATTGTAGTAACCTGGCCTTTATATCCAAAATTGTGCATACGCATTTGGCCCAGCAGAGATGTCTGCCTTGAGATTTGAAAGTATGATACATAATATTTAAAAATTGAGAAGACTGTATTTTAAATGCTATCAGCAATTTCTGATTCTAGATGTAGCGATGTGAAGCTACAATTCAAGCTTTGTTCTAGGAAAACTTCTTGGATACATGTAATGCGAATAGTAACCATGGTTTTTTCATGATTTAAATAACTGGAAAAATTGAACTGCTCTATTTGGTAACATAAACTTCTCAGTGTATGTTTCAGCCAGGGCCAAGTTCTAACCTCTGCTAATTTGGGGGGAGACATGTTTCTTTCCCCAGACGACCTGCGGCTTACTCTTGTGCTGGAGTCTGCTCTTCCCAAGGCTCAGGTGGAGAGAGAGGCAGCCCTGGGAAAAGCATGCAGCAGCGCGTCCCTTTCTCGTAAAGAGAAGACAAAGGACTGAAACCGGGCCAGCTCTGGAACTGGACTGCCGCTGTTGCAGACACGCCCAAACCGAAGGATGGTAACCTACTATATCCAAAAGAAGTGGACATCCTCCCAGCCAATCATCCTGAAAAGAGGCAGCTCTTAGAACAGGCAGACATTGGACTACTACGAAGAGGGAAATAGCCCCTGCCCAGTTGACAGCTGGTGGCCACTGGAGCTGGGCTCACAAAAAGACAAGCTCGGGACTCGGCTGGAGTTAGCCTGCCACAAGGAGGCAGGCTGAGGCTGGAAGCAGACAGGAGGGCTGATTGCGAAAGACCCAGAAAGCCGGTCGGAGCCTGCGGGCTCCAAGAACAACCACATTTTTGCAGCGACTTCATGTTACCTATTTCACAGTGCTTCCCTATTCTGGCTCCAGAATTGAAAGTGAAAGTTTTGAAAATGTGCTGTTCAGTTCCTGCTGTAATGTAGATCCATGAGAAGGGCCTGTCTTGTGCTTGGAACAGTGGGGACAGTGAGGTAGGGCAGCCCAAGGGAGCTCGTTGGGCCAGGAGTGATTCGGAAGCCAGCACGGAGTGGTGCCGGGCAGAGGGGCCTCAGGGAGCTGACTGCTCCTGCAAACCATTCAGACTTCTGAAACATGAGCACGTCAGCCGGGGATCCTCAGATGCAGCTGAGGAGGTGAACTTGGGAAACTTCCGTCCGCACGGGGAGTGGGGCTGAGGGCTGTTGTAATGAGCCTCACGTGAACGTGACCTCACATGCTGGGAAGCCTCAGTGCCACCCGCGCCCTTGGAAGTGGAAATGATGAGTGGTGGCAGCCATACCACTGAGTGGTGGCCCTTGGGGTCACCTCCCCATGACCCCCAACTCCAGTTAGTAAACAGACCATGCAGTTTGGGGGTATTGCTGTGCTTGGTGGTGTTCAGTAGGGTGTTAATATCTCAAAGGATGAAGTAAGCCTCACTGCCCACATCAGACTGCGGTCGGTACAATGGGAGGCTGCGGAGGCCATTAGCTGTGAGTCAGGTCTCTCTCTGACTCTGCCACAGCTGACCCGTCAGTCCTCGGGTGTCCCCGTCAGCCCTGCTTGCTCAGACTGGCCAGCACCATCCAGCCATCCCACCTCCACATCTCTGAAACTCTGTTTTCTATACCATGCACTTCTTACATTCCGACATTTACCTCAACCACCAGCAGGTCATCATTTGAGATGGGCTCAAGCTTCTTATCTGGTGGTGTCTTTTCAAGAAGAGTGCTTAATTCAACCAAGATCCTGCCTCTGTAGGCAACTCCTTCCCCCTGAAAGGCAATCACACAGGGTTATTCCTCTAGGCATAATTAACAGCACAAAGAGCTCCGCCTCTGTAGGCAGGCTAATACGGCTACAAAAAATATTCCCTTCCCATCATCCTAACTTCTAACATGAAGTAGTTAGCAACGCTCTCAGCGGGATTCAGGTGTTTGGTATCCGAAGGAAGAGCCATCAACTTCAGACAGGATTCTGAAAGAGTGCTATGGGGTCCCAGGACGAACAGGGATCTTAGCCATGATGGAGGTCAATGTCAGACCATGCTCTGGATCCAGTAGGGTTCCCGGGCTTGGGGATGGCAGTGAGGGGAGCTCTAGGTCTCCTCACCGAACGTCAGCAAAGCAGCTCTACGTTCATCTGTGTTAACTTGGCTCTTTTCTCCACTTCATGCAAAAGGGAGCCGGCCTTGTTGGCAACCAGGGCAAGTCTCAGAGCAGCCAGGATGTGAAGGAGGAAGATGTTTCGGGTGGGGCTGAGCATGAGCATGAAGCGTGGATACTCCTCCCACCATACCCAGCACAGTGGGCAACAAGCCTTCCAGACAGGGAAGGAACTCTCCACCCCCGTCTCCGCCCCGTCCCAGTTGGGCTTCCACCTTTCCCTTCTGGGGGCTTTTCCTCTCAAGCTCAGCCCAATTTTTGAGACTGGAGAGTTTTAAAAAAAGACTTTTTTTCATTATTTTTTCCAGATTATTATTATTATTATTATTCCAAAAAAAAAAAAAAGACAGTTTTCTTCTATTCTAGTGGAAAGAATATTTATTTCGGGCCTCTATGTCCTCATCTATGGAATGGATGGGTGGGATCAGATCATGGATAGAAAAGGCTTTCAGCAGGCAGGTCACCGCCAACTGTCTGGTAAATTTCTGGAATGTGGCAATACAAAGAATCCTGAGGCAGCACCGTGGCTTTTGAGAAGACAGTCAGCGTCGGTTCCTGATGTCTGCCGTAAGTGCAGAAGCGGAAGGAGGTGGCCATTGGCCGTACCAAGTGAGGGGTGCCCCAGGATCCTTTCTAGGACTTGAGGGGCATGACGTTCCTGGCCTTCAACGCTTGGTCAGCCATGTGGAGGCTCTCTGGGTGAGTCATAGGGGGATCCTCTAAACATGATACCTAATTGTAACCACATGAACCAGGACTCATTAACAACAACCTTATTTAAGAAACTTACCTTACCAGTATTTAGTTCATCGTAGGGGTCTGGGAACCCCGTGTACTCTCTGGGACTTCCATACAGGTTCAGATAACAAGGTCCAAATGTTGGAACGAAGCCCACCTCTGTTTCTCCCGTATTTGCTGAGAGATAAACATCCTCATTAGATTTTCAAACTTTCACATTCAATTGATTGAAATAAATATTAGTTATTAGTTAGCCAGGGGAGACTACGGCCTTCCATGTTGCGCATTAGTTGTATTAGGGCAAATTATAAGCACTGAGACTTGTCATACTTTCTTCTTATTATTATTGCTATAAAATATTAAATATAAAACATTGGAGGGATAGTTCAGGTAAACGTATGCTTACAGAAAGACAACACTATTCAAATGAAAGAATAATAAGACTTTCAAGACGATCCTCACATTTTTTGCAAGTTTATAGTTGGCATTGTATTAAACATGTCCTTGACAACTGGGGTAAAAGATCATACTGTTTTGAGAAGCCATGTAAGTGATGTATCAGATTAACTTAATTTGTTTTCTCCCAAAATGTCACTTACTCTCAAGCAGTTAGTATAAATCTGACAGATGCTTTTCAAAATACAAGACATTTAAAATTTTTATATGTGACAGTGAACAGCCTGCCTGTGGTTCTAAGACCATATGATACGCCTAAGTGATATGAAAATCCCCATTCATTATGTTCTATCTCTAACGATCATCAGATAAATTCTGTTCTTGCTACTCCGTCTTAGTAAGAGTGTTCCTCAATATAGGACACGAAGGACGGTATAAGAAAATAGTAAAACCAGGGGCCAGCAGGTAGTGTAGTGGTTAAGGCTCTGGACTCCCATGTGGCCAACCATAGTTCGAGTCCCAGACCTAGCAGCTTACTTTCTCACTTTCTCTCCCTCTGTGTGTCTCACGCTGGTCAAGATTAAAAAATAATAATAAATTAAGTAATTTTTTTTTTTTAAAATAGCCAAATCAAGGAGAAACTGTGGGTAGGGATAAGAAAAGATGAGAGCTGCCTTCACCAGTCTGAATGACCCCCAGGGGGAAGAGAGATGAACTCATCTCCAAGATCAGAGTGCTCCGAAAACACTCTGAGAGCACTGCTCTGTGTCACCCAGAGCCGAATTTAGTGCTCCCAATGCAAAGAAGAACTTCCTATAAGTTAGGGATGTCCAACCATGAGGCAGATTGCTTTAGAGCCAATCAAAAGAAATGCTGAGACCATCAGCCTGTCTCTCAGGATGTACCAGGCTAATTCCCACTATGGATATGAGGGTGACAATTCCTTCTATGGATGGCCTTTTGCAACTCTAAGCCAGAAACTATGGATAAAAGATAAATGTGGACTAGCAGGTGAGCAGCATGCCCGTTAATGAATAACTGACCTAATTATAGAGACGTGCACAGCCCAATCATTTTCATTATGTGAGGCTCGCCAGAAACTTAGACATGTGTGCACACTTTCGGGGAGAAGGAAGGTAGAAACCACACACATGGGCATAAATGAGCTGACCAGTAATCTCAGTGAAGAGATGGGGGAAATAATTTAAATTAAGATAGAAAATAGGATGTATGGGCCAGCTAATGGCCTGGTGATTAAGGTGGCTGGATCCCACATCGCTGATTATGTGGTTCACGTCCTGGACCCAGCGGCTTGCAAAACACGCTGGGCATGTGTGCATGTGTGCTCAAAATCCTGAAGAGAAAAATGGAGAGAAAAATGGAGGGGAAGGGATTGAGGCATGGTCATTCCCCATCAGGGATGTGTTCTCACTTTTCCTCTCCCTCTCTCTGTGCGTCTCTGGTGAGCACATGCACCCGCTGGCAAATTAAAACAAGTGACACTAGTAGGTGACAGGGTGAGACTTGGTAATATCCTGGAGTGCCACATATCACACGCTTTTGGAAATCTCTCATGAAACCCAATAAAGGCCAACAGTTTTTCCAACTGATATTTCTCTGAAGCTTGTTTTTATCTTCAAGAGCAGGCTGAAATGAATGACTATTGTATGTGAACACATAAATGACTTTGGTTTTATCCACTCGACTATATGTAACATTACAAAGTTGACTAACGGAGATTTAATAAGCAGGGCTTAAACTTCTTTCCTTGTGGTCAGATATTTCGGTATGGGGGAAGGATGTTGCATGAGAACAGAGGGTTAAAGAGAGATTTATAGAAAGGGAAGGAAGTAATTTCTAGCAGTTGAATCACAGAATGTTCAAGTAAACACAGACGTTGCACCCCAGTCATGCCACATTAAGAAAGGGCACACTGGAGCCCACAGAGATGCTGTGGCTTGTCCAAGCGCCCACAAGTTGGCAGATGTAGGCCCAGCACTTGATTGCAAAGTCCACAGA